ATCTGGACAGTGAATTCCTCTTCAACAAGGCTTCTTGTATCTAATTGTTCAAAAAAAGTCAGTCAGTAAATACAGCGATTATGTTCAAATTTCAATTATATCTTTCATGCAGTATAAATAGTAGTTTGAATTCTTACCTTCTTGTCCCAGAGAGTCCCAAACACCAAAATGAATAATCCCTGGGGGACAGATAGTTACATTCAGTCCTTGATGTCATCAACATTTTAAGTGCAGTTCCTCATGGCTATCATCTCAAACATCGTCCATGTTGACTATTTAAACTCTGATGTCTTTGATAGAGGACCTTTTTCTTATTGCATCTCACTTACTTACTTTACATACAACTGATGTGGTAGAGATCTCCAGGCATAGCCTTTGACATATCTGGACTTCAGAAATGACAGAGGTAGTTTCCTAGTGCTAAGCATACTTAGTAGGATAGACTTTCCTGGGGCTTTCCTAGACTTTCATGATCTACTTGTGCCCCCAAGGTAAGCTAGAAGGCTCACAATATAAAAGGCAGGTGAGTTTGATCTGAAACATGCAATTTTAAAACCATCCTTAAGAGACAGAGTAGATATAGCCATAGTATCCATAAAAAATCCTTTTATATCTGGATACTAGTGGCCAGTTAAATATGCTATTATGAAAATCTTACTGATTGAAAGCAATCAATTATCTGGATTTCAGTTAGTAATCCTTTTTTTTTTTTTTCTTAGTATTGTTCCTCTGGTTTTGGTGACTTTCCTGTTCTTTATACTCCCTCATTACTTTAACCTGCAAGAGCATCCTCTGATACTTGTAGATGCAAGGAGAACAGAAATGCTGACGCTTGCCCACCTGTAGGGTTATTTTTCTAATCTTTGGGATGCAAGTCATCCCAAAGCAACTGGCAAGGTCAGAAATGGTGTTAGCTTTATTTGTAAGACTCATCTGTGAAGGCAGCTGAGAACACAGTGCTGCTAGATTGGGTTTCCCAAAGAGCCCTTTGGGAATAAGAATGTGTAAGACAAACCTGAACTTTTCCAAACTGTGTTTATTCTCCCCAAGCACAGCACTGTAGAAATGTTAGTACATGTTAAATGATTATAGAGAAAACAAGACCATGCACAAGTGTAACTCACCTGAAAAGAATTGAGCAAAGCAAAGAGAATGTGGAATGCCCGAGAGCTGCTTCTGACGATGGTGGCAAAGCCAAATCCCCAGGTGAGGCCTAATAGTGGTGTCAGGATGGCCACGCTTTTGCCAATTTGAATCAAAGAGCTCCTCTCTTGCTTGTTTGTCCTGTCTCCAATGGTTGGCCTCAGTATTTTTATTATGACGACCGCAGTGATGAACAGATTAATGACCACAATGATCAGGACAGGTATGACAAAGGCCAAGAGAGCCTTGCTGCCTGTCCACTTGAGCCAGCAGACTTCATTTCTGGTGTAATCGTTCCTTGGCAGAGTGACAGCGATGGTGATGACTGCAATGACTAAAGGGCATCCATATCCCAGGCAGAATGCCACTGCTTTCTGAGCAGTCTTGCTTGGGTTGTGTAAGATGAAGATCAATCGGTAGAAAAGAATGAGGCCCAGGCTGAGCATCCAGAAAAAGACACTGAGGTAGAATAAATGGACGAAAAAGGTGACCGCTATACAGAGACCCTTATTGTAATGGGCGGAAGCAGTGGCAAGGAACCAAATATCAGCAAGTAGGAGTGACATAGCTATGTTGAGTATACAGACATGGCGCATATAGGAGGTCGTGTTGTTCGTCACGTATTTCCAGACTAAGGATTCAATTATAATGCAGACCACCAAACTCAAGATGGAAATGGCCAGGCCAGTGTAAGTAATATAATCTTCAGGGCTTCCCTGATGGGGTTCATCAGGTGACATCAGAATTGAAAATGATGTCAAGTGACTGCAGGAGCAAATGACATCATTTGCTGTCTCCGTGGGTGTGCAACCACTACTGTTCCATTCTCCACTGCTATCGGCACCAAAGCTCCAAAACGCGCACTGCGGATCCTTTAGGGAAGTATCTTTCTTTGCAAAAGTCATATTAATGGAGATGCTGTGGCTTCTATTTCTGCTCACAGTTGTTGTTAGCAGTAAGCCATTCACAAACATGGAGTTACTCTGGGGCAAAATATGTCCAAGGGTTGAGTAGACCACACTGACAATGGTTGAGTTTTGTGGCAGAGTCTCGACTTCAGCTTCATTTATTAGCACATTAACTGTGAGGTTTTCTTTACTGGTGAAGATCTTACTATAGTCTTCCTTGCTGTTTTCTGTCACTACTATGCCGTCTAGTTGAACGGTGTCTGTTTTTACAGAAGGAATGGTATTATTAACGGGTTGGAGTTGCTCTGAAAATCTTTCTACTGAATGCAGTAACAAAGAACTTTTATGTGGCTGTTGTTTAGCCAGTGTTTCCCAAGTTCCTATTCTGGAATTGTTAACAATCGTGTCCACTGTAGAGAGGAAATTCTGTAATGACAGCAAAGTAATGGTGTTATTGAAAACTGGTGATATTTTCTGTGTTGTACTAGAATTGCCTTTTGGAAAACCCCATCATTTCCTCTTTTTCCCAAGCCATAGGAAACCTTCAGTCACTACCCCTCTGCATGGTCTATTTTCAAGCCAAGTTTTTGAAAAATTAAGCTGCTTGGCTTTTCTTGGCATATTATTTACTATTTCTCTTCTCCAGCATTCTGTCTGAGTTCTCAGTCTGTGTTCTATCCTTGATTCCTCTGTCTCTCATTTAGGGTTCTGCAGCTACAAAACTTCAAGTCTTCTGGCACGTTTCTGTTCAGAAAAGCAGTTCTGTTCTTCTCAACCTCACATTTAAGGCTTTCAAGAATTTCTGAGGTATGTTCTTCCATTTTTTGCTACACTCAGTTGATTTTCCTCACTTCATCGTGGCCCCTGATATTAACCCTCCTCATGTTTATTTTAACCTTTTCCTTTTTCGTATTCATGCTCCTAGGCCATCATTCTTTTCCCTTTCTTCAGATGTTTAGTGCCAGAGACATTTATGGAACCCTGGAACATTTCTATTTGCTAAGTATATAGTAGTTTCTCCTCCCAGTGCTTAAATCCTTTTCTCCTATCTCGTGCATAGACTCATGCATAGGTCTTCATCTTTTTTTTTTTTTTTTTAATATGCTCTTCTGTTTCTTTCTGTCATTTCATCTCATTCCCTTAGTTCCCACCTTTTCATGACTCTTAAACCATTAGTTTATTTGAGGAGAATTTCTTTGTCTGTGGCATGGAGTCCAAAGGGCTTGGTAAGTTTTGATAAGACTTAAATAAAACCTTACTGTAACAGTGGCTGTGTCTGCATATGCTGGGATGTTGGAGACCAAATCTAGGATGGTAACAACTGCAGCTAGGTTTGCAGAATGATTTAGTGCACTTTGTTCTGCTGCTGTATTTCTCTGAAGGTCCTCAAGATATTGAGGCAGGTTTGCTCTTCCATTGGGATCATTGACCAAAGCCTGGAATAGAAGATAACACATTACATATATGCAATTTATTTAGAGTTTGATCCTTCATAATGGCTATATCTGTACTAGTAAAATAAACAGAAGCTGGCCCATGCTAGTCATGCTGATCGTATTGAGCCCACTGTCCCTCCAGCACGGGGTGGCCGGACTGCCTGTTGAGAATGGTCTCCTGCCTGTGCTATCTCCTAGGCTGTTTCTGGGAATTACTGAGGAGAAAATAGTTGGCCTTGGCCCAAACCATACCAGGGTGTAGCCTAGGAAAGCGTTAAGATAATAAATGATCGAGTAGCTATACCTCTGCTTGGGTCTTTGCTATGTCTGATTTACTAAAATAAACCTCAGCCCCAAAGCCTCAGCCCAGCACGTATCTGGGAAGTGCAGTGACCAAGGGGACTTGCTAAAAAGGACCTGCCCATAGGCTTGGCCAGTGGCTCCTGGTTGTCCATACTGCCTCACTGCTAGTGCACTCACTGGCATGGCTCGTGCCAACTCACACTGGCAATTCCTGAGCATGGCTCAGAGGCCGGGAATTTTTCCCAGTGGACACTATGAATAAGGTCGTCTTGTCTGAGGGATAGGACAGAAAAACTCATACCTCAGCACCCAGAAGCAAGTTGTTTATTGGTACAGAAAGGCAGTCGTTTCTGGCAACCACCCAGGAGCTGCTGGTACACTTGTATGTTACATTGCCTCGGTTGAAGCCATCCGCACTGTTTAACTCCGTGCACGGCTTCGTTATTTCGGAGCCTGCTTCTCCAACGCCCAAACTGCCTGAGCACTGAACTTTTCCTGTATTGAGAAAAAGAGAGATGTAAAACTGAGAAACAAAGGTATACCTCTCATCAGAACCAAAGTTGAGAGATCTTTAGCATTGAAACTCCAGCTCAGTATCTCTTGGTAGCTCTTCATCTTTGGTAACTAGGACTTTTGGGTGTGTATATATCCTGGAAGCTGGATTTTTTTCATAACTACCGAGCCTTTGCTACTCTCCATAATAAGAGTGCACATATTTATATCCTCAAATCTTCCTCTGAAGTCCGAGCACGAACTTTCTTGAAGGTTAGGAAGCTTTTCTTTGGGCACTCCAAAATGTATGCTCATTTACAGGTACCTTAACACCTGCTGATTCTGTTAGGTACCAGAAGCAACATACTTGAAACTGTATTTTTTTTCAGATGAAACAAAAGCAAGAAGCAAAACCTCTTCAATAAAATAAAATAAAATAAAATAAAATCCTTTTAAATTCCCAGTCCATTTTTTTTGGAATCATAAAATTCAAAAAGAATATTGAGTCAAACCCCTTGTTTTGAAGTACTGAACCAAGACCAAAAAACTGCCCAAACTTTTAGAATTTGTCTATTAGATTATATTGGAAAATGGAGTTGTAGATGGGATTATATTGATCACCATGGGAACTGTAATTCTTTTTATTTACATGGACATCTCTACCCAAGGGTTATCTTACCCCGTTAAGGGACTCAGTGCTGCTGCAGCACTAACAGTAAATTCATTTAGACCTTGCTAGTGAGGCCTCAGCACCATTTTCATGAACTGTGACTCTTACAAATAATCTAATCAGTTCTGGTTAAGTTAGTCATACCATTAAGTAGCTGCTGAAGAAGTAAATAAAGTGTTTGCAGTCTGATCTTAATGCACACTGTGTTTATTGTTAAAGATGGTGAAATCTGGCCAAATATATTTGAATCCATGATAGGCAGCACTGTTTATACAGTGGAAAAAAACAATTTCTGCACCATGTCTTTTTTTTTTTAATTCAGAATAAGAAGCTGGAATATCCAAACTCTGATCAGAACAAAACTTACCATTAAAACTGGAT